TAATTTTACATACATTAACCAATGTTTAAACGCGACAGGAAATTAGAAAATTACCGGATTCATCAAGTATACTTCTCCAATATGCTACGTGTATCGTAATAATTACTATATACGGTAATAATATTATTCGCAATAATTCTATATCGTAAACATTAAATTTTTTAAACATTCTGCAAAGAAAGAAGTGGTTTTGTATTTTAACATCGTATTTTGATGTTTTTGTATATAATTACCTGCTATATTTACCTATATACTTATCTAATTCATACAAATGGAGTTCTAATTCTAATACATGTATTAATGTTTTTTATAGCCACTGTGTATATGTCTCGGTCTCCAAAACTCAGAGATCGGTTTTTACGACATCACTGCATACATGTACACATATGTATACATATATACCGCCTCCACTGAGAATCACGCGAGTTGAGCGTGAATACGCACTGCGGGCGGATGCTTCGCGGTTTGAGCTCCTATAATAATCATGTGACTTTTCTGTTTCTTCCACCTAGCTGTGTGCTACTGTTGCGTCAGAGATCAATGAATCATTGCATAAGATCCGCGTTTATTGACGTCAACTCCATGAACTGGAGAGCCCTGAACCACTAATCGCTCGTAGACTGTAGACTAATGCACTTTTTCTCCGATGCCGCTCCAGTTTCTAACAATAGACGAGAAAATAATTGACTGGTTAAAAGATTTTATAACTCTACATTTATATAGAGATTAGTTTTGCGAGTCGCGATAAAGGTACGGACATTGAGGGCACTTGAGAAGCTTCTTTGAGCATTGTTCAAAGAACCAAGCTTACTTCAAAGTGTTTACTTTTTAAGAGATGCGCGAGATAAGTTTTGAATCTTAGAGACAAAGTTAGTAGAAGAAGTCTGATATTGATACTGGATTAACGTCGAACGGCACGTAAAATTTCAATATTTCAACAAGCACGTTTGACGGCGGACTTTGTACCGGTCAAACTCTGATACAATTTACAAGTTTTGCAGGCTAACGAGCGACCCGTGGCTTTCACTCACGAGGACACGTGCTAGGCCGTCTCGTTTTCGTCACGATCACGTGCCGACATTTTAACTCGAACCAGCCTTGCCATTTATCAGCAGTTAAAGGAAACATTCGACTTGCCAGTTACCTGAACTTTATCAGGTTGAAATGTCCCTTTTCCAAAGAAGACCCAAACAAACCTCCATTGGTACAATAAGCATTGCAAACGGTGCATCACGCAGACCCAAGACTCATTGTCAGAAACATAACGCTCAAATCTTGACACAACGACGTTATTAGCAGATCATTAGAAGGGCCGAGAGCATTTCGAAAAATCACGAGGAGAGCTCGTGATGTACGTTTACGTGACTAGTCTCGCGTTTCTGTTGGCTGGCCCTTTTTGTTTCCTCCGCAGTTGTTTTACCTTCCAGCAATTGGTCCGGGAACCTTTAAACCCGAAGTGAACGACCAATCACTTGGTTAGACGAGCAGACATTACCTCGAAGGAAACGTGGGGTCGCCACTCGTGCTCGTTTCAATGTAGCCTTGCTGCTCCGACTGGCGAGTATAGTCGTTGTTTGTGTTTCATCGTGTACAAACGAGCAGAGGAGTCGCGTCTCTGACCGGCTTCAGTCGATCTGCAACCACCTTCGACAAAGGGGACTCGCGTTTCAACAGCCGGCCTTATCGATTTCTCGAGGGTTGCAGAAGCCGCGGCACCGAAGCATGGACATATTCCGCGAATTCCCCATCATTTTTAATCTGTACAAGAAATATAATTAGACGAGTCGAGGGACGAGAGACCGGTGTTACAGAGGAGCGGCTTGCATGGACAGTGACGACGCTCGACGAGCTTCTATCTCAGTTATCACCCAGGACTCTATCAGGTGAGTTAATAAAAGTAGAACTTTCCAGTATGATTCCTCGTCGTTCGATGATACAAGTACGGCCAATTGACCTCATAGTCGGCGACAATCACGCACCGCTTCCGCTACTTTGTAATTGTGCTATCCGTGTAACGTATTAAGTAGCAGTCGAGTAGTCTTTTCTACCCCTCGTGTTTACCTCGTCGTGTCAATAAATCTTCCCGTGAACAATTTCCTCGTTAAAAGGCGGAGGATTTTTTTGAATTTGAATCACGGATTAGAGACTAAGTTTACTGTGAAGATTGTCGACGTATCGAATATTACGTTCGTGTTCGATAAGGGAATTAGTTATACAGATATGTAGACAGGTCTGTACGTTAGTTTTGAGAAACTTGAGCACGACGAGACCGGCGTTCGCTGTCCCCTCGAGGTTCCCGTTTATTGACTCTCCACGCCTACACGGTCAATTTACAATGATCAGAGGGATTCAGATCGGAGGATATATGTATTACGATCAGTCTGCGAGAGTGTCATAAAGCTTGTGTCGTGTTGCAAAGTTTTCAGTTGTTCAATGACGCGTACACACGCGACTCCTCGTTTTTTCTTTTCTCGCGCGTCTCCGTCTTTGAAATTTCGGCTGGAATATACGGTGTCAATCAACTAAGAATAAAAACTAATATCAAAAAGACAAATAAGTATTTGGTCATCGAAAAGAGCGTCTAATATTGTATATTTATATAAAGTCTGTTTAGTAAATAATGTACGTATTGTTTTGTCCAATTATTCTTTGCAACAGCTTAAGTAATTTCTACCCCAGTTCAGTTTTGTTCTTTTATCGAAAAAATCTCAATGCTTGCAATAGTTGAGTAATCGTTGCCTCGTCAGTTTTGGAGCTTTTATTCTTTTATCGAAAAATTTCAATATCTTTTGCAAGAGTTAAGTAGATAATTTTCACATTATTAGTTTAGGAGCTTTCTATTCTTTTATCGAAAAAATTTCAATACTCTTTGCAGTAGTGAAGTTTTGCAGTTTTTATCTCATCAGTTTTGGAGTTTTTACTCTTTTAGAAAATTCTGATCCATGTGTTTTCAACATTAAAATTGAAATTAAAATGAGAATATATACTTATACAATCTAATATAAAGCTTGTTGTTGCAAGGAATAGGAAAAAGTTTATGATATATAATAAAGCATACATGG